GTAATTAGTAATTAGGAAAATGCACATCAAAATCAAATTAAGATAATATTTTATAGCAGCTACAATGCTCATAATTATAAATCAAACAAAAACAGTAACAGGTACTGATGAGAATGTGGAAAAATCAAATCCTCATACATTGCTGGTGAGACTGTAAAAGGCACCGACACTAGGGAAAACACTTCAGTGTTTCTCAAGAAGATGAATATAGACTCACCATATGATGCAGCAATTCCATGTCTAGGTATATACCAAAAGATGAAAAAAAGTGTTCAAACAAAAACTTGTAATGTTAATAACTACATTGCCAATAGCCACCATAAACACCTCCAAGTCTATATACAGATGAGTTATGGATAAACAAATTGGTACAGCCACACAATGAAATATTATTCAGCTACAGAAAGGAATGCAACAAACACAGATGGACCATGATTATACTATGTGAAAAGGTTTGACACAAAAGGTACATGCTTATGCCACACAATACTTACAAACACAATAAATATCAGTATATTATTACCTCTGATAATACAGTGTTTACATGTATACTTTGATAGAGTACACATAACCTTTATGACTTGGCTGAATGACTTTTACACAGCAGGATCTCAGATAACTACTGAATTACTGAATGAATGTCATTCAATTGTTCAATGATTCCACAAGATGTTTGTAATAAAGTCTCAACTCTACAATACAGCTCACACATCTTATAATGTTTGTATCACATTTCTTTCTGGTCTTATTCTAACTTCATTTAATAACCTATGTTCCAGGCACAGAGGTTGGAATAACACAAAGCAAGACATACAGTACTTCAGTCTTATGAAAGTATATGAGAACCTAGTAGATTTATCTTATCTAGACTGTGGGGCAGGAAAGGAAGGCCTTTTGGGAAGTGACATTTAAATTAAAACAGAAAGTTAAGATACTGGGTGAAGTACAGGGCAAGTTCCAGACAAAGAGGAAAGGATATACAGGGACCAAACATTAAACATCCAGGAAAACAAAATAAGTTACTTGAGCTAGATGTGTTGGAGCATTCCTATAATCCCAGCACTCTGGGAGGGTGAGGCAGGAGAATTGCAAACTGAAGCCCAGCCTGGGCAACTTACTTATGAAGACCCTGTCTCAAAATGAAAAATGAAAGGACTGGGGATGTAGCCCAGAGTTAAGGACTTGGTTCAATCCCCAGACCTGGAAAAAAAAAATAGTAGCTATTTCTGTAAACCTAAAATATTAGGGTGGGAAAGGAGCTGAGATGAAGTTGAAAAGGTAAGTGCTTTCAATCCCCAACTTAAAACCATACTACAGAGCCACTGTGATAAAAACAGCATGGTACTGCAAAAGAAGCAGACCCAAGGATCAGTGGAATAGATTAGAAGATGCAGAAATAGCTCCAGACATACTCAGCTACTTCATCTTTGTCAAAGAAGCCAACCATTCTCACTGAAGGAAAGATAGCCTCTTTAATAAATGGTGCTGGAAAAACTGGGTTTCAATTTGCCAAAGATTAAAACTAGACCCCTATCTTTCACCATGCAGTAAAGTAAAAGTGTATTAAAGATCTAAATATTAAAACAGAAACACTAAACTTGCCAGAAGACAGGTAGAACACTTGAAGACACTGGCTTTATGAACAAATCTTCAGTAGCACAGGAGCTAGCACAAAGAATCAACAAATGGGAAGTCATCTTTTTTTAAAAGCTTCTGCACTGCAAGAGAAACCACTAACAGAGCTAACAGACAACCTACAATGTGGGAATTACCAGCTGTTCCTCAAAGGTCTACTATTCACAAGCTATAAAGAATGCAAAAAAACCAGATCCCCCAAATTTATAGACCCAATTAAAAAACGGGCATCTGAAATGAACAGAGATTTCTCAAACAAAGAAGTAAAAGCAATAAATAAACATGTGAAAAAATGTTCAACATCACTGGTCATTTGAGAGATGCAGATCAAAACAACACTGAGATTCCACTTCATCTCAGAAAGAATGGCTGCTTTCAAGAAATCAACCAATAAGAAATGTTGGCAGGGTTGTGGGGAGAAAGGAACCCTTCTTCATTGTTGGTGGGAGTGCAGACAGGTGTAACCACTGTGAAAATCAATATGGAGATATCTCAAACAACTAGGATTAGAAGTCCCATTTGACCCAGCTATTCCCCTGCTGGTTGTCTTCCCAAAAGAATTTGAAATGGAGTACTACTCAGCCATAAAGAATGAGAAACTAGAGACATTTAGAGCTAAGTGGATGCACGTAAGGACATACTCTTAAGTGATATCAATAGGGTACACGTGTAAATACCAAATAGATTCTCTGGTGTGATAAACTAAAAGTGTAAATAAGAATCAAAATGTATAATTGATAATGTGTAATAGGAAAAATATCTAAAGGTGTAGGGGAACTGGGAGGGGTAGGGGAAAGGTAAGAAGGGAAAAAGAAAAAATAAAGAGAAAAAAATCAACAAAAAAAGAAAAAAAAAAGGAAAAAAATGGAAACAAAGTCTATGTAAATAGGGAAAGGGGATGGGTGAAGGGAGGGCAGGGGAATGCGGAAAAAATAAGAACCAAGATATATTATATAAAGGTACAGGATCCCAATTATTGTAACTGTATTGTATACCTAAAATGTACCAATAAAAAAAAAAAGGGTAGGTGCTCTAACTCGAATGGAAAGCCATTAGAAAGCTTTAAGAGAAGCAAAAAACAAAAAGAACAAAAAATAAAAAGAGAGAGAAGAAAAATCACTGCATCTCTATAGAACTACCTATTGTCTGTGTACCTCACTGAAGATCTAAACTGTTGCTTCCCCAATGGCCAGAACAATGCAGCACATCCTACCCAATTGGTCTTTATTCAGTGCTACTAAATCAAAACATTATATAGTAGCAGAATAAAAAAAATTAAACTCAGTATTTCTGATTCTATAATCTGTCATGTAAACATAGACAAATATTATATACAGAAATACTATATATATATAGTATTTATACTATATATATATTATACTATAATATATAGAAATACTATATATATATAGAAAGACTAGAGATTACTCAGTGATAGCAACTACAATAAAACCACTGAAATTAAAAGTAGAGTGACTCCATTAGACTGACATACTGCTGTCTTGTTAAAAAGCAAAATATTAAAGTAAAAATATTGCTAAATAAATATATGTAATCATTATTGAAGAACCAGTAATTAAAATGGAAGACGCTGCCACATGTAAACTTTCTCTGTCATGCTGGTATGACTATATACCAGCTGTGTATTTCTAATCTGAAAGCTGGCAATGCAGATTTATCTTGTCAAAATTGGATAAAATTAAGAAATGTATTTTTTAACCTTTCCAGATTCTGACATTATTTTAATTCAAATATTACAATGACAGGCTCACTTTTACTTTTTGTATGCTAGATACTCTAAATATTAGATTGCTGTAAAGGCAATCAAAAGTTGAGAATTACTAATCCCAGAATGCTTCAGGGGCCATACTAGTAAAAATAAACCCTAAGAAAAAACTACTTATGACACAACTACATTACATGAAAGTCAGTAATAATAGTAATAGCAATAATACTCAGTAATAACAGCAGCACTTTGCTGTAGAACAATCTTGAATTTACAGTTGGAAGAGAATTTAGTCAAAAAATTTTAACTGAGGCATTTTAAAGATCAATGAGAATATTTTAGTGAGGAAATAAATACTGACTGTATGTCTATCGTGATGATATATTTCTATTTAAAATCTTTACTGATAAAGCTTGGCTATGTGCCAGTTTCAGATATTTATATACAATGAAAAAGACAAGCAATATATTTCTCTGTCTCTCAAAAACAGTTCAATTTATTTTACAATAGTCTGAATCCCTGATGGTCTGATTTCATTAATGCTTGGAAGATTTTTCCGAGATGATGAGAATCCTGGCAAGCTAGGAAAAACGTATTAATAAAAATGACTTAAAATCCTGCCATCTCTTAAATGCACCTTTTATCCTATAACTGTATTTTCACATTTTGTCCTCATATCTTTCAGAAAACACTGTATGTCCCACTATCAGATGAAGAAACTGTTCCACAAGAATATGTACGACTTTTGCATATCTATTTCAGTAAAAATAAACTGGATATTTATTGACTATGTAACAAAAACAACTAAACATGGAGAATCCAACTTAAGATTTTTTTTTTTTTTT